CAAAGTCGAAACGGCGCGAAAGGGACATGCTTCGTCGAGTAGAAACTGTTAAATTGCGTACTAAATTTTATCGCGAGCGGGTGCGAAATATATCGACCTCTTGTATTCTGAAGTACAAGAATTCTATTGCAGGAGAAGCTTGTTGCTCGCGTTAACGTACATTAATCTGTATGCACCGTAGGCTTTCGCGAAAAATACGTCTCCAGCTGCGAGCATCGAAGTGGTTCGCGATGCATTAATATATTCCGCCTCTGCCATGTCACTGAATTAGATTTTTACAAAATAAATTGTCGAGTTAATGGACGTCGATCAGAAAGAGCAGATAAGATTCTTCTATCTTCGTAAGAGTCATTTATTTTAAAAAATGTCACAAGTCTAACGCGGCATTTCCATTTTATCACGATTTAAAAAAATTGAATTACAATTATTTCAGAATAGATAACTCGTTATCTATCCACAATAAATAGAATCAAGTTCGTTCTACCACGTCATTTGTATAACTGATGATTAATCCTTCTTGTGAATTTGATGTATGAACGAATTGAAAAAAAAATTAATTCGGCAAGTTCTGGCAATTTTCAATCGGATACCCATTATACATAAATATAGCTGTCATATAACACGTAAGCAAAATATACATTTAATCCATACACTGTAAAAAATATCGAGATGGAATTAACATCGTACGATGTCTATATAATTTTTACTTATTAACATCGACATGATGTGGACTTAACACCATAAATTTTAAATTCACATCATGATAGTGTTAATATTAACACCGACACGGTGAGAATTGTATATACCTGGGTAGCAAGCTGACGTTTTTTTTTTTTGTCGTCGTTTTGACATCAGCTTGCTACCTGAGTAGATACCGCGTGGTGTGTTACATCTGCACCCTGATACTTTTTAAGGGTGATATTTCATTTGTGCGAAATAGCACCATAAAGTGTATTATATGATGATTACGATATATTCGGTGCTTGTTGAATAAAAAAATTTGTGAAAATAAACTGTTCAAATGTCATTATTGATTGACATTTTGAAATACAAATTTTTTTCTCATTCGCACCCTCCTTCACGCTCGTCTTGGCTCTTTCAATCTTAAATTGTTAAAATAGAAATTTTTCAAGCTTACCTGACAAAGTATCCATCCCAAAATCTGTTTCGGGAATAAATTCAACTGACTCTCATGTTCGTTTCTTTGCCGGTAAGATATTGAGGATTTCGAAGACAACGATACAGATCTTTCTGGCAATTTAACGATGTAGATCTCACACAGCGGAAATATTGTCTAGCGCTAAAACTACAATTTTGAAATTGATTAAATCGCGCCGCAAGGTATTTCGATGCTCGCATGAATTGACGAGATAACCAGCCGGGATTACTCGGCTTTCAGTGAGAGAACTCTCGAATCCGCGCGCGCGAATGAACGACGACGAGCGAGGGTCGTCGCCGTTTGGCCGGGAAGACCGCCGACCACCCCGATGTATATCCTTCTCTTTGATGCCACGTGCTAAAGTCGATCGGGTAAAGGGAGCGAGGGAGCGAGGAAACGGGTAAGAGCAACCACGTCGGCGCGCGTCGTGACGCTTCATCGACGCGCGCAATTGGTGCTTCCGGGGTGCAAGAATCGCGGTTTCGCTCTCAGATCGGCAGCTCTCTCCAGCTCTCTCGCGGATCATTCGTTCGTCATTTTTGAAATAAAAATCATTGACGTAATCCAGCGAATTTGCGAGTAAAATAAATTCTGTAAAATAAATTCTCTTCTTTGCTCAGAATGTTATATCCATTGTATTCTCCGCGGTCCCTTCTGATGTTGATGATCGCCGTTTCAAAATTTCGAAATTCATAAATAGCTTGTTATCGATCAATATTGTACATAAATTTTGCAAATAGTTTACTAACGATATCATAAGGTCTCTTTGATTGATCGTTGCGTTATTCGCTTATCAAGGATTTTTTTTTTTTTTTGCGTCAGTGCTCATCAGTAATCCGTGTGCAAACGGATAATTCGCAGACCGGGTTGTATTTTCAAATGGGGTGTAGAGTTAATGGATCGGTTATTGAATTTCGTATGAACATGCATTCGGGAACATGACAGCGTGTAATCTGTTCCGACAGGTATAAGTACGTGAATCGAGTCGAGTGCACAATCGACGCGCTGCGGAATCTAACAATATTAAAGACATTTCCCGATCGTAACGTTCCTGTCAATTCTTTTAAATTCTACCAGGATAAATTTTTTGCGAGCTCATTTCAGAAGATACCGATTTATCCTTTTTGTCCGCCCAAAGTCGTCGGTGGGAATTCCAACATTTGCTTCATTCATTGCTTCTTTTAAAAGTACAATCGAAGCAAAGTCTCATGTAATATAATTTAAAATTAAAACAAATTTTCTAAACTATATATGTGCGTTATCACGTAAAAAAAAATCTATAGTCAAATTTTGTTTCGAGTAGAACGTAAAAGGGTTTTACTGCTAAAATATTTAACCATCGAGTCTTAGTCTATAAACTTATAAATTTTTATGGAATGCTTACTAAAGTCACTGCGTAACATGGTATTTTCCTCAACGATGAATATTCATAAAGTGGAAGTTGCGAGAGAAACCAGGATGAAACGATACCTTTTCGTGCTATATATTCGTTAAATTTAGACAATTTCTGAAAGTTCCGGGGAATACGTGACATGACGAAACAAGTTTGAACGGTTTCATAAATAGATACAGGCTCTCGTCTCGAATCGATAATCATCAATGATAATACAGATGTGGGTGGCACATCGTTATTTCCCTTCTTTCTTACACACATGCCTTCTTTTTAATTTAATAAATTAATAAAGACTTGTTTAAAAAAATCTTCCCTGCACTATAATTTTAGCAAACATTTTATTAATAGTCGATCTTACGAAAAATTTGATTTATTAACCGAACAAAATTTGTTTATTTCAGAATAGCGACAACACGGAAGACTAACAGAGTGGATTTAGTATCGAAAGTATCGAATAAGAAAAATTCAATAATGTCTTCATTAAATTTACGCTACACGAGAAACATCCTCAATCGTCTTACTCTGAAACAAAGGCTATTTTACGAGAAGAATGGTTTTCTAATATTTCCCCGCTTCATACCACAAGATGTGCTCGATAAATGTTACGAAAGGTATATTTAACTTGTAAAAAAAACATATTGAATGTCCATCGCAATGCCATTTCTTTTTAAGTGTTTCAAGCGAATTTCTGAAAATCTAGTTTTGTACGATTACTTTATATGAAGAAAACATTCCACGTATGTCAAATACGTAACATATAAAAGTTGCTTATCCTGTTTATATCACTGCAAAACGTATAAAATGATACGTTTATTCAACGCATGCAGATATGCGCGGGTATTAAAAAGTTTTTAAAGTAAAAATTACTGCCGGAGACATTAATCGGAATAATCTTGTGGACGGTCTACATTATGAGTAGTTCGATAATCTAACAGTGTTATTGTTGAAATGTTCGATGTTTCAGTAAATTTACTGACTGATATTAATGTGTGCGCAAATACTACGACCAGCTATAATGTTACAGATGACCGATTATTCAATACGGATTCTGAAATGTCGGCATACAATAAATTGCAGATACGAACTCTGTTTTTACGGGTATTGATCACGTGTGTCAATTTCAACAGCTAATTAATGGTATCGAAATTTTTGCATGTCGAAAAAGGATCAAAGGATCTGTACTAAAAACTGTAATATATCCGACTGTAATATATGCGCAGCACATCCAGGAGACATGTTAAAAACGTCCAGAGGACGTCTACGTCCTCGAATGAAGTGTATGCTATTTGGGATATATATGAGTATTCATAAAGTTCTCTTTTATTTTCCAGATTTAACGAAATCGCCGAAGGAAAGTCACAGCAAAATACGATGGTAATAATGTACGATGTAAAGGATAGAAAAGCGTTAACTAAAATACAAGATATGCATATGGATTCGGTATTCCGTCAATATACCGAATACAAGAAAATTCTTGACATAAGCGAGTGTTTTACGGGACCAAACATCATGGCGATACATAGTATGCTCATTGCGAAGCCACCCGATAGCGGATTTGGAAGTTCAAGGTAATCATTAAAGATCTTAAAATACTGCCAGTATTATTTAATGCAACATGACTAAAGAACAGGATGTATTCTTTTAGACACCCACCGCATCAAGATCTGTACTACTTCCCATTACGACCAGCCGATCGTATAGTAGGTGTATGGACAGCCATGGAACCTTGCGATACTGAAAACGGATGTCTCTATGTGGCGCCTGGATCACATACTTTAGGGAACTTGTGTCCACATGGTTATCCTCCGGAGTCGGAAGGTGTGGTGAATAAGTTTTATCATGGAATACATGTAAGATATCTCCTCAATACATCTTTTTATCGAACTGTTATTTTTCCATATCGTTGCTTAATTTTTTTCTGTTACAAAGCAATTACCTTCAATGCTCAACAATTGGGTAAATCTTGAGATGCAACCCGGCGACACAGTATTCTTTCATCCGTTGCTCATTCACGGATCTGGCATTAATAAATCCAATAGAACGAGAAAAGCGATTTCCTGTCATTACGCAGCAGCAGAGTGTACTATTGTTGATGTACGTAGAGAACAAATGCCAGTTTATTATCGCGAATGAATAACAAAAATACGAATCTGAAAACTATAACGAATAAAATGTGTTCATGTTTTTTGCAATAGGATGATCCGGTTCAGGAAACCATCAGGAAAGAGATTTTAGAACAATTAAAGAAAAGGAATCCCGATATAGAGTTACAATACGCGGATATATGGCGTTTTAAATCCGTGCTCGTACGCGGTCTCCGTTCTTCTTATTAAAAATGTTTAATTGTATTATATTAATTAGAGGCCATTTGTTTTCTACAAGGCTAGTATGTAATAATAATTAAATAACGTTAGCATAAAACCAGAGATAATGTAGGATTGAATAAATAGGAATAAGATTCGGAAGAGGAAGAGAGTAACATCACCACAGAAGAAGAAGTAACGACAACGGCGGGACTGTCGCCGTTATTATTTAATGAGTTAATATTACGCCGATATCGTTGCGGGATATAACAGTGTTTCGCGAGAGCATCCTTGTAAGTGTTGTCGCGTCGTACGCTGGAACTTGAAGTGCGACAAGCGGCCAGACAAATCTGGAAGTGAACAGCTGTTCTCCCTACGTTTTTTTGTACTTTCGCAGAGTTTGATGACAAATCCTTCCGACCTCTTATTTGCTATAATAAATTTAAATCATGAATAAAATAGCGATTCTTTCTTGAATATATATTTTATATGATTTGAGTGCTTTAAGTATAGTAAAAAAAGAAAACTAGTATTATAGAATCAACAAAAACTCACCTTATCAGGGTGTAAGCAACAGGAAACGCAATACTCATAAATAGTACAACACCCTTGAGAATTGCATGTTTTGCAACTGTACTTTTCTTTCCTAGTTATAAATGATTCTTCATTTTTTGAAGACTGCTTCTGCTCTATCGCACAACATCCATTCGATTGCACTTCATGTCTCGAACATACTACACCATGATCATCAACTATCAAGCCTCTTCCCTAAGAAAATGTGAGATGTTTGTCAAAATAATGGAATGAAGTAAACTTCGACTGCCACTGTACAACTAGATTGTCCTTAATGTTTCTTTTTTATAGCATGTTATTTTAATATTTAACTATTAATTCTTTATTTAAAAATTCACAATAAAATTCTTTAAAAAACAGTGAATAGTTGGTATCTAACTGCAAGTTAACTCGTATTTGGACAGTCAATATATTAATACAAATCCTCACTTGAATGGAATTACGACAAGACTGATTGTAAGCGTCGCTTTCATTTAAATTAGATGCATCTATATTTCCTGCATTATCAGCCACTTGATCCAGTATTTCTATCTGCCACAGTGGAGACTTATCGGATGCTCTTAGCTCTTCTAGCAGGTTATCATCAGGTATCATGTCTTCATTGTTATCATTAATCATCATAAAATCCATATCGAAATTGTTGTCTAAATTTGGTAGTCCTCTCTGTAAAGAAAATGACAAAACCTTCTGTAATAAAAGTTATAATAATATCCAGATTTATAGTCAAATTATTAACTATAATTTGACTTTAAGTATATAAATGTACCTGCCTTTTCATTGCGGAGTAAAGAAAAGGCACAATACGTCAATGATAGAGCGAAGATGAGCCCAAGAACGAGACGTCGTCTAAGTAATCTGATCAAACTCGTGCAGCTTGGCATCCTTCCTCCGCTTATACGCTCCTCACGCTTATACGCTCCAAAACAATTTTAAATTCTCTGGACATAGTACTTGCAGGATGATCATTGTTCCATGCGCGATCGTAAGAAGAATTCGTAGTAAGGGCATTCGACATCGAAGTGATTGCAAATTTGCAGAGATCAATTCATGAAGGTTAGATTTATTATTGCTATCAAAAGTTTGTGAAGCACTATAAATATTACTTTGCTGAGCGTATGAATGTTGTCAGTTTTTCATTATCACAAGAATAAGTGAACGGCGATCGATTGTCGTCTCGTTGATAGAACGAATTTCATTAATTACGAAATGCAAACGAAACGATGCGATACGAACACGCGGTAAAGCGTGACGATGTGATATGACATGACTGACTTGCCCGTGGAGTTTATTGACTTACCGAACAATCTGTCTTTTCCGAGGTTTTGCGGTAGATGTCGTTACTTTTATGTATAATTACCGACGAGATGATGTAAAGAACAAAAAAAATAATTTTGCAACGATATATACAAGACATTATAGCATTATAAGTTTTTTATACTTATGTATAGAATATTTATATAGTAAAAAATCGTCAATTTAATGATATAATATATTATCCAAATAATCGCAAATTTATATCAATTGTCGATAATGTTAGCGTTCTTCAATTATCTCCGGGCCTTCGGAGCTTTTTTGTATGGACGAAAATATGTCCAGGGTTGACGGTCTTTAATAATTATCTCGTCGGTGGTATAATTTTCATGCATTTTTTTATCGAATTTATTAACGAACCAATAAAGTGAATAAAGACGAGTTCAACAAACAACGGCCGTGTTCGTTGAACATAAAGCTAAAATGGCATTATACCCAAGCAAAACAAGTCATTTAATATCAAAATGATGTGAAAAATGACTCTAAAATATCGTTACGATTCATTTTATCATTATTTTAACGTCATTTTAATGTTGACTTGTTTGTTCTGCTTGGATATAGCCAAAGGAAATATAACCGTAGGCTTTTGTATTTTTTCAACATAAAAAATATTTTTTTTCATCGATGAAGGATGATGGGTTTCATTTCAAAGCTATTATCTTTTTTATTTTTCAATATACAAAAAATTTTTTTTTACTGAAAAACACCGAATGATAGGCTTCACTTTGAAGCTATTTTATTAGCTGGAAAATACGGTATCATATATATGGTATATGTATATTCTTAAATTTTCAATGATAGTTAAAAAACCCGCTGAGAGCCAACGCCAGTTGTAGTTGCGAATTATAATTTATTTTCCAATGCACACATATATAAAATAAATTAAATAATATAGACGTTTCGATCCGAGTTTTAGGTCCTCCTCAGACGTTGTTCTGTGAATCGTTTGAAATGCGTTTCCGTCGTCAAAGTATCGCTTAACATCCAGAATTGTGCTTAGAACAGTCAAGGTATCGCTTACATCGAGAATTGGACACAGAAACGTCATTAGACTTCCTGGTTTAATGATAGTTTCAGATTGCTATGAATATCGATGTTACGTGTATGTACATAGATAATGAGATATCGATGTAAGCGATACCTTGACTGTTCTAAGCACAATTCTTGATGTTAAGCGATACCTTGATGACGAAAACGCATTTCAAACGATTCACAGAACAATGTCTAATATGTAATACAGTATTTCTCATTTGTTACTCAACGCTCATACTGAGGAGGATCCAAAACTCGGGTCTATGTTATTCAGTTTATTTTATATGTGTGCATTGGAAAATAAATTATAATTCGCAACTATAACTGGAGTTGGCTCTCAGCAAGCTTTTTAACTATCATTGATTATTATCATTAGAGCCTATACTTCTTCAATTCCCTAAATTTTATTTTATTTATGTACTCTCGCTTATCTAATTAATGTATTATATTTAAATTCTAAAAACAGATAGCTTATTGTTAGCAGAAGTATGCATTCATATATCTATATACACACACACACACACACACATATATATACATATATATATACTATATGATTACTGTAGTGTCTTATTTATGATAAATATGATAATTTTATGATTCATCATAAAATTAATTGTTTTAAAATCTTGATAATATGTTTTTGCGGTTTCTACAGCCTACCGTCTTCAATGGATATCTTTTCAAGGAAATTGCAGTTTACGAGTTATCTTCGTGTCTACATAGTTAAATGCCAATGATGTAGGCGATAACATGTTCGGTAAATTGCAGGTGCATTAATAACGCCATATATTAACGCTAATTAAATGCCAAGCATTTCACGATGTACAATACATCGCGAGACGTGGAGTAAACACTACTGAAAAAAATCACGTCATACAGTTGGATGATGAAATCATATAATTAAAATATGTAAATCACGTAATGGATTGTTACAAATCAATACGTGTTTTTAATATTATGTATTTTTGAAAAGTTACGTGATTATATCCTTTTTTCTTCTATTTCTGTCATCAAATTCTTTAAAATTTGATAACTATAATTAACATCATATGACGGATAAAATTATTTATAATATATGTGATTTTTCAAATTACATCATTTTTTAAAATAACGTACTGATTTAATTACATGATTTACATGTCTTACATGTAAATTAAATTTACATGTGATTTACATTACATGTTACGTGATTTACATGTTTTAATTACATGATTTCATCATTTTTCAGCAAGAAACTGTCAAATTTATTCCAAATTATCTTCATTTATAATAATACATAAATTTGATTTATAGCTGCGTTCGACTTGAGCCCTTACGCGCTGTAGCTTTAGAGATCCTGTAATTAGAGAATTCTAATAACTTTCATCTCAATATCTTTATCGTTCATTACATGAAAAATGAAATTTACAACGCGTAAGTGTTTGAGGCATATGCTCAAATTCCCACGAGAGTAAAATATTACTTTATTATGCTTCACCGAATGTTAAACAAGGGTAAAACAATAGTCCGCTTAACGAGAGATTTATCATCTTGTCGCGTATAGAAGGGTAGAACGGACAAAGTGGGATGGAAATGTACTCTCTATTGTGTACGTAAATATTCGGCCCAGGCTTAAAATCGAGTGGGTGAATTAATGGAAATCCTTCTGTGAAGGGTGATAAAGGGCTGCAGAGAATGTAGCAAATATTCGGGAATCTGAATGCACTCCCAGCAAATGCAGTTCAGTAGACCTATTCGTGTAATTCTTAACAAAAATTTTATGATATTATAAGACAGCGCTGTTTTTTTACTATTGCGCATATATATTATATATAAAATATCTGCGTCATGACACTTATAACGATATAATGTTTTTACAGAATAAGTCTGCTATTACGTATTATGAAATTAATCGGAATGAAATTCGATTGAAATTATTCCGTTTTCTCTAGAAAACGCAATAGAATTCTAGGGAATTCCGATCGAATTTCAAACAACTCCATAATATATACCTTGATAAGGCCGTAGTACACATCTTTGCATAACGCATAATGCATAATGTTTTCTACATATAAGAACCCATTATCTAGTTTCAAAGCGGGGAGCTCTTTGAACGGACCCTTACATAACGGATAACACGTAATGCATAAGGAAATGTTATCAATTAAATTCCTTCGTTTCCTTCCTTTCCATAAAATAAAGAACTTTGATTGGTTGGATGTCTTATGTTTTATGTGTTATGTATTATGTAAAGCCCTAAACACAATGCGAAGGCAACAGCGATAGCGATAGCAATCGCGATAGCAATAGGAACAGAGGAATCCAACATACAGGAATTAGAGTAGGTTTAAGAGTCTGTGCTCTCCCCTTTAAAATCCGCGCACAATTAAAGGAATGGGGAATAGAGTGTATTTCAACCTGTTAGAAACCATATTGATTAGAGTAGGCCGAAATTCATATTCTCTATTTCTTTGTTCCCTCTACTATCTGTCCCCTATTCTTTGATTGTGCGCAGTTGTTTGAGAATTATTAATACATTACCGTGCTTACGACATAAGTTGACAGTTTTGCGGCATGTACAAAGGTACATTTAAGGCTGTTGCATACACTATCTGTAATGGGCTTTTTACAATAAGTCATTATCTAAGCTTTAAAGCTTAAGTTATAAATAATTGACCAATCATAATCGAGTATTTTCTTATATTGTGATTGGTTAATTAATCATTTTATGATTTAAAACGTAAAACTTAGGTAATTGCTTATAACAAACCTCGTAAGCCCGGATCTACAATAGATTTTTAAGCCATAAGGAATGGACGGACCACAATCAACTGTTCTCCTCGCATTCGAGTGTAATTGGTCAGTTTTTTACAACTTAATCTTAAAACACCTATTGTAGATCCGGACTAAAAAAAATCAATCAATCCGAATCTTAAAAGATAAAATAAATTTCATGAAAACGAAAAAAATTTCATATATTTTTTTATATTGTACATTATAAGTGCATTCGGGAAATCGTTATTAGTACTATTTGTGTCAAGGCCATGACATACAAAAAATTTAAGACAGTAGGACGTAACGACGTGAGACGTAAGGAGGTAGTAAGCAGTAAGGAAATCAATATGTTGGATTGGCTACTGCTTATGTTGTGGCTTTAAGGACTCTACTGCGATTGGTCAATTCGCTTATTGCTTACGTTTTGCCACTTAAGTTTTTTGTGTGCCATGGCCTTTAGTCTGTCCTTGTTTTACGTATAATAAACAACAAAGATAAGAATGACTTCTGGTTAAACCCTCTCTCTAACTTTGCTCCTTTACCTACTTTATTTCTTTTCCCTTTATCCGCTTTTGTCTTATAGTTAGAAGAAAGAATGACAGAGTAGCGCTAAAAGCGTCTCTCCGAACGCATATGCGAAATCATATGCCTTATTATGCGTTATACGAAACTGTGTGATTTCCGCTCATATTTTTACATCTATAGATCAATCAAACGCGTATCTCAGTAGATTATTTTTTGTTTTAAAATAATTGAGTGTTTTTCTCGTTGAGCATAACAGAAACAGGAAAGGATATTGACAAGAAGGTTCGTAAAAACATTTTTCAAGAAGATAAATTTCGCTATGGCTTTCGGATTAACCCAGTGGCTCATATTGTTTACTGTATTTGCGGTCGTTCTGACAGCTATCACTTGGTCCGCGATACATCTGGTCAAAAAAGAGCCACCACCGAACATCACAGATATTATTTATGTATTTCTCGACGCGGATTATTCTATTGAGTGGAGAAAGTAAGAGATATTTAAGGAAAAAAAATGTTTATCTCTACTAAAAAAAAATTTCTTTTTATCAACATGCTTTTTTTTCAGGGCTGCACTTTATACCCAGTTTTTTAACGTGACGTCGCGAGTGGTGGAAAAAAGTTCGAAGTTAGTCAAAAAGGGCCAAGACTTCGTAATACCACGCAGTTAGTAATTTTACAAAATTCAAACTTTTTATTCGAATGAGAATATGCTGTCAATAACGCGAATTCTGATATTGCATCAGCGATATCACCATCGGAAACAATTCATGAAACAACAATGTCACCTCCAACATTTCCGACGGAATTTCCAAATGTGACTGACAATTATAAAAATTATAAACAGCTAGTGATAACACCGTAAGGATAGATTTTTAATTGTTAATTAAACACACACCTATTATTCTCACATATATGCATAAATCATACATATTGTGCAAGCGAAAATTGTTTAAATAATTTCGCAGAAGCCCAGATCAGGTTTTGAGACACACACAAAGGGAGCATTTAACACATAAAACAACATCATTCGACATAGAAATATTTATGAAGATCAAGTATAAGTCAATCTACAAGTCCGGTATGCCGATGTACAGAGAGCTGTAGCTCTGAGCTTTCCGACCTACCTTCAGATGAAAAGAATGGTACGTCAAACGTGTCTGTAATTTTCTCATTATAAACACAAGTGTCCGATTACAGACTCATCAAATATGGTAAAACGAATGAAAATAATGTATATCATATGAGGAACACGGCGTAGACAAAACCCTTAGGGTTTTTTTCACCTCGATTAAGTTAACCGACAGTTACATACAGCTCATTTAGGACCAGATTCACCATTCATTATTATTCGTTATTAAAATAAGTTAACTCTCGGTTCAAAATTAACCATGAGTTGTAAAACTGGGCCTAAATGAGCCCCATGTAATCGTCGGTTACATTAACTCGGTTAGCTTAACCTAGTTTGTGAAAGAACCCTTAGAAAGTAACACGTTATTATAATTATCACCTTTATTTAAGCACGTGAGTTTTGTTATTATTTTGTTGTTACATTTTTCTAATTATTTTATACATTGGCTGGAAATAGATGTAATAAATTAAAATGCGTTATTTATATGATTTTATGACTACAATGAGACAACAATAAAATATCGTTGGATTTCATGCGTCATAAAATTTTAGACCTGGAAATTTCAGAGTTTTTATAATAGATCTATAAAGCACGTTCTTAAATAATTATTTCTTTCACGAGAGATAAAAACAATCACAGGATGTTTTTCTAAAAAAAAGAATTGAGCATCGCGATCCAATAGAATTCCCTGTCATGCGTTGTAATCTATAATTGTTCACCCTTTTGTCACTGCCAAAGGCGGTTATATCTTGGTGTCCATTGGAAGTGACGTAGCAGAAAGGCGCAATAACTCCGATTACGCTCCCCAAATGCAGTCCTTGTAATACCTACTCTAATAATACATTGGTTGCCATTGTTACGTCTGGGAGTAAAGCGCTTATTATGAAGATGTGTCAATGTATAGCATGGACGTATGCAGCATTTTTTTAGGGGGAAAGGGATATTCATTAATTCTGTTATCACAATATTTTGTGCTTTAATATCCTTTTTTGGCTATTTTAGAATTTTTTTCTCATTTTCTAATTTTGAATGGGAAAGATATTACGTTATATTTTTTCCCCGAAGAAAATATAATATAGGCAAAGTATAGTTATTAAAAATGAAATGTGTAATTTTTTAATATTATTTTAATATTATTAGATTTAAAATATTTGTTATAATTTTTGTAAAAAGAAAAGAAATTTAGAAAATTCAGAAAAGAATATCAAAAAATCTCTTCGAAAAGAAGAACATTGCTAAAGATTAAAAATATTAAACTAAAGTTAAATAAAAAAAAAGGGAAATAATAAATAAAACAAAAAAAGAGTTAATGTTGTATTTTTCACATTTAAAAATGGAGAAAAACTTTTTCAGGGATTTAAACCTCCGTAATTTTTATCCTGGATACATCCATGCTTTTTCTGTTGTCCTATCGCTACATTGTTTTAACACGAGGGTAATCAGTAATGTAATCTGCTGTGGTGATTTCTATCTCATCGCGAGAAAACCACAATCAGTTTTCTTTCTTAATTAACAATTCATATTTTTTTAAATTTATTTTTTTATTACAATATTAATAGTGACTAAATGTTGAGAGTACACATTTTATCTAAAATTATTTATGTACGTGTAAATTCGGAAATATTTTAAGATTAATTATTTTATAATTTCCGAAAAAAACTTGTAAAATCTGAAGACGGTTAAGTATTCTTTTAAATCTTCATAAATTTAATACATGTAAAATTTTAATGGTACCTATATGAAGATTATGTTTTCACCAGGGAGCTAGTATCAAGCCGTTTTGCGCATGATTGTTACAGCGTTAGCTTCGGGTGCAGGTGATTGAAGCAAGGTAGTCGCACATGTGTTACAGACCTGATCAGAGCCAGTATCGACAGACACATAGACGGATTCTGGTTATAATCGGAGTTACAGAAAAAAAAAGGTTAATAGCATTAATATAGCTGCTCCATGGAGTTTCGGTTAATGGCGTCAATTGGGTGCTTTTCGTTTTTGTGCTAATTCCAATTTCTTTCAAACTTCATCTTGCGAGCTAGCAATCGGAGCAACCTTGTTTTTGCTTCGTAAATTCGAAACGATATAAATCTTCTCCAAGGGCGATATTCATAGTCCGTTTTTATTTTAGATAATGTCTTGAGATACTAATGCATAGGCTCACTGATTAGTTCGTGATATCTTAAGACTGTATTTAAAATGATCTTAAATATAAGATCTGACTATAAATATCGATCTAAGAAATTAAAATATTTTAATATGTGAATGTGACGCAAAAGGATCATATTATGAATAAAATGGTGACTTGTAATAATCAGCGTTATGAATATAAAATCTCTTGATCCCTTTGCGGAGTGTGGTCTAAACATACAGTGTAAACATTTTATAAGCAAGATTTGGGATCTTTTTACTGTTTATTTATTTAATTTGATTCCGAGACTGGCGGTTCTTTTGTTGCCTTACATCAATGAACGATTGTATTAACAGTGGTTAAGTAAATAGTCATTAAAGAGAAGAAGCTCAACGAGGGTTATTTTTCCGGGAAAGAAACCGACTCTAGCGACGGTAGTGTAAGTGATCTTGATAATAGACAAGTATTGCGCAAATCAGCCCAGACTGTCGATTTGTATCGTTACCGTCGTTTCACAATGTCGGCGTACGTAGACCAAGTCGTGTGTTGCGAGGTAAAGACAGAGGCGAGAAAACGTTGCTGCAAGCTTTACGATCGAGCGACGCACGGAGGTCGGAAACATCTGAAGCCAGCGTCATGGATCACCGCGAAAAAGCTGCCGGCTTTGCCGATCAGCGGTTATGTTTGTCGGGGATGTCGTCGCGAATTTCAGAAGGTATCGATATTTCGAGATACAGATCGCATGTCGTTTCAATGTTGTATCGATGTGAAGAGGTTCCGTGCTGTGATGAAAAAATTCCACTGAAAGGTGAGGGTTAAATTCCGGGCTGCGCGATTTTACTGTCCCGTAACAAAAAATAATTCTTTTTCGAATGTAAAACCAAAGGTAATCTGATGCCTGTAGGTTGTTTTTAATATGATCCCATTGAAATTGTTCTGTCACGTTGGTCACGTTATAATTTAGAAAAAAATTGAAATAAAGCTATTTTAGTTCATTATTTATTATACGATTTGTGACATGTTAAAGAAATTTATTACTATCAAAATTATATTATTAGGTTTTTCAGTCTCTAAAAGAAATTTATTGTGTCGATTATAATTAAAAATACATTTAAAATTAATGTACACGTGTATCAGAATGCATATTGCGTCAGAATTGCGATTTTAATATTACGATATTGATAGAGCTTATATTAATTTTTTTAACGATAATGGATATAAAAAAAATTTTTAAGACATGAAAAATTTTAGAATACATTAATTTTGATCGCATAATATATATTTTGATTGCGTATGAATTATATAATTTATAGTGTAAATATTTATAATTGTGAGTTTTTACAAAAATTAATACTTTTCCTCTAATAATGTAAATATGTCTTAATAATCAGAGTTAGATAATTAAGTTAATATTTTTTAAAGCTAAATTAAATTACAGTTAATGATTCAGAAATTAATTTAGTTACAAACACAATACTAAATGATTGGACTAATGAGACTTGGCACGCAGTGTCAGAGTCGAAATGTTCTTTTGTATATAATTAATTTAAATATAAATTTATGCATGGACAAATGCGTGTCAGTTCTCATTAACATAATTTATTTATTAGCTTATTTGTTAATCTTAAGAGTCCCGAATTCTTTATATTTTTTAATTTAGTTATGTTAAAAGTTGCATGATTAAAAAACTAAGGCTGGGTTGTTCTACCTTTCGGTAAACTTCAACTCTCTCTCTCTTACTCTCTTACTCTTTTATATTTAACTCTTTCAATCCTTTGTTTATCCAATAAATAAATTACCAGATAGTTTACTTAAAAGATGGAACAGCCGGCTCTAATTCAGTTAAAGTTACGTTAAAAGTTATTGAATTAACAAAAGTTAAATAAAATGTTAATTTTGAAAAACATTTTTATTAAATCATAATGTCCTAATTTTTCTTAAAACAGACGACTATAAATAACAAAATAATTATAATATAAATCATCAGATAAAAGTTTAATATTTTATTTTTTAATTTTATAAAATAACAAAGAAATAATTTTTTACTAGCATATACTTTATATTTAACTAAAGTTATGTTCGGAAAGCAGCGCTATTGCGTCATTTGTTCTGTATCGCTCATTAGGCGTAAAATAAGAACAGAATGTCGCAATAACGCTGATAACGTTTTCTAAATACAGATCCCAAGTTCGTCAATTACCCACAGTCATCTTTGGATAGTACGAGTGTTCCTTTATGGGAAAAAATACATTCATCTAGGCATTAGCGGATCGAAATATAATAACTTTTGAATTAAGTATTAATCCCCAAGTTGGAAATTTATTTGGCAGCTAGCTGACACTCCCTAGTTGCGCCCACCACATGATCAATAATCTTTTCTCAATCTTCAATAACTAATTCTCTTTAATATTTAAGATTTTATAGAAAGAAATGATATTTAAAAAGATAAAAATATTAATTTAAAAAAGAAAAAGTTAATAAATTAAAGTTTGAAAGTAACTAGATTAATTTAATAATTTTGAAAAAATACCAATCATGCTCCTAATACAATTAATAGTATATTTTATAATTTGTATATAAATTTCTGTAATATTATATAACAATGATAAATATCAACATTATATTTATATTTTTATGTTACATGTAATTTTTTTCAGTGTAATATATCAAAATATACTAAAATAGTTCTTTTTGTAATTTTAATTAAAAATTTTTTTAAATGATGATTGTGACATGACAGAGCAACTTTGAACAATGGAGTCATAAACGTCCAAATAACTACGAAAAATAATTACCTTCTTTCTTATTCATTTTTTATTGAATAGTAATATTTTAATATAATTTGTCGATATTACAAATTGAAAGAAATTCAGTGATAAATGTTTTCCTCTATATTGAAGAGATTGTAACAAAAAAAATCCCTCAAAAATGAAAATTTCTATTGTTGAATTCTACCACTTGATAATTACATGCCTTATGTCCGTTTCTACCAATGTAGATTAACTATCAATCTCGATTTAATTTACTCTTTATCTTTTTCTAATTCTTAAAACTAAAGGAAAATAAAAAATAAGTTAAACCAAGATTAATCTCGGTTTAACTTAATTTTATCTTTCTTTCACATAAATTCCGCGATTATTTAATCTCTTGTGTTTTCTTGTGTTCTACAATAAATGAAAACATGGGCAATTAAGGACCTAAATTCTCCGTAATTGAAACGATTATATCAACATATACTATATTTCTCAACACTACATATATAACAAATACCGATCGTTTTGCCTTAATTCAAGCCATCTGCAGCAGTATAATAGTATCTAGTATTAAATAAAATCTCTTGAATAAAAAATTCCACAACATCTTGATAGTCTGGTATAATACAACTTCCTTAATACAATTCAAGTAATTACTTTATAAATTAAAGTAATTGAATGCAGCAAAGCAGTCTCCCAGATTATTAAATCTGAAATATGTAACCGTCATTTAGCTGTTAACTAGTTAAACTAAGTGCGAGCTACTGCACTCCATAACTGCACAATGAAATACTATAAATTACGCAGCCTTTCATGTTAATTTACGTACGTGACTCTATTTTCACATTGTGAATATGTCGCTAAAGATGTTTGGCGTTATGATATTCTTTTTGGCGATTGTGATTTAATTTATATTAGACTGCTAAAATAATCTGCTCATAATTACCCGTTTTTTCATTTATTGTTTAATTTTTATCTTAAGAACCTAACTTTAGTTATTCTTTGTTTTCATGTTCTGTTAATTATAAAAACTTCTTATCATTTCTAGCAGGCTTTCACGTCGCTTATTCACTGTACATATATTATGATGTTATACGTGTACAATCAAATTGATTTCTATTCCTTGATAATCATATGTCGTTTGCCGTTTCTTTTTAAATTATTTGTCAATGTCGCGTGGTCTAGTTTATAGCATATATGTACGTTGTTATAATCTGAGAAATTTTATAAACACATCGGATATCAATGTCAATAGATTTACAGGCTTTCATCTATGATTATTTCTAAAATTAATTACTGTTACTCAGACTAATTATCCAAATACATAATGACAACTTAAGCACTTTGTGTTTAGACTGACGCGTCATTTGACACTCATACCAAATACGTACGTTCATTACACTGTGCCACATAGATTTAGATCACAAACCAGACAAGATGATCCTTGAACAATGAATTCAATTGGATGCATTGTGTGCATTGATGCGTATCAAAGTCGTTATACACGGATTTAACATTAACACAAATGAAATGCAAACATGGTCAAAGAGTTCCGTATGGAGCATAGAAATTTCACAAGCCAAATATTTGGCATGTGGAATTCCACATGCCAGATTTGAGAAACAAACATTGAAACTTGTGTGATCTTTAAGAAATGTACATATAAGATAGAAAGTAAACACGCGGGCTGTGAAGACCAAATAACGTAGCAATAATATACGTTAATAAAGAGCTTGCACAATTATTGGATGCAGATATTTTAATGGAGGAGTTTATTTGCGAAAACAGCGCTCCAGGAATGTGCTTCGCAGTTTTAATTCAATAATAAAATTCATTTATATTTATATTTATTAATTGTACAGGCGTAATACATGTTACACTTACATGTACATTTATATGTATATATACAAAAAATTAATACGACATTTATTATACTTTTCCTTTCCAGTGGTGTTGGTACTCCACATGCGAAAAAATTACAATTCTCTGCCCACGAATGCAAATATTTTGATTTATGACATACGTTTTATCCAGCACAACAAAATGTATGGAGGATTTCGTGGTTAAAATTGCCGTTTCTATATGTATATTAAATATTTATATTAAATATGCATCTTTACGTAGATATCAATCTGTGTATATCTTTGATATGCACTAGTGCGCAGTGAGTGCATCTAACCGAATCTGCTTTTTATTGCTGAAAATGAATCCATTATTAAAATTGCTTCGTCATTCTATAATTCTTTTTTAATCGTTCTCATTTGTTATAAACAAATTTTTTTTAATTCGACAGAAGGATGTCACGGATTTAAATTTCGTTCTTTTAATTTATTTATACTGTATAACTTTTCGTATATTTTTGAACTACTTTAGATCAAAATTACTAAAACAATATGCTATTTTTTAAATCTAATTTTATATATACATATAAAATATCTGCGTAATGACACTTATAACGATATAATGAAAATGTTTTTACAGAATAAGTCTGCTATTACGTATTATGAAATTAATCGGAATGAAATTCGATTGAAATTATTCCGTTTTCTCTAGAAAACGCAATAGAATTCTAGAGAATTCCGATCGAATTTCAAACAACTCCATAATATATACCTTGATAAGGCCGTAGTACAAATCTTTGCATAACGCATAATGCATAATGTTTTCTATAAGAACCCATTATCTAGTTTCAAAGCGGGGAGCTCTTTGAACGGACCCTTACATAACGGATAACACGTAATGCATAAGGAAATGTTATCAATTAAAGTCCTTCGTTTCCTTCCTTTCCATAAAATAAAGAACTTTGATTGGTTGAATGTCTTATGTTTTATGTGTTATGTATTATGTAAAGCCCTAAACACAATGCGAAGGCAACAGCGATAGCGATAGCAATCGCGATAGCAATAGGAACAGAGGAATCCAACATACAGGAATGCATATTATGTGCATATTATCCTATGTGCATTGACATGGTATTCTCGTATGTTCGATTCCTCGCTGTTGCCTTCGCATTATGTTTAAGGTTTAAGAGTCTGTGCTCTCCCCTTTAAAATCCGCGCACAATTAAAGGAATGGGGAATAGAGTGTATTTCAACCTGTTAGAAACCATATTGATTAGAGTAGGCCGAAATTCATATTCTCTATTTCTTTGTTCCCTCTACTATCTGTCCCCTATTCTTTGATTGTGCGCAGTTGTTTGAGAATTATTAATACATTACCGTGCTTACGACATAAGTTGACAGTTTTGCGGCATGTACAAAGGTACATTTAAGGCTGTTGCATACACTATCTGTAATGGGCTTTTTACAATAAGTCATTATCTAAGCTTTAAAGCTTAAGTTATAAATAATTGACCAATCATAATCGAGTATTTTCTTATATTGTGATTGGTTAATTAATCATTTTATGATTTAAAACGTAAAACTTAGGTAATTGCTTATAACAAACCTCGTAAGCCCGGATCTACAATAGATTTTTAAGCCATAAGGAATGGACGGACCACAATCAACTGTTCTCCTCGCATTCGAGTGTAATTGGTCAGTTTTTTACAACTTAATCTTAAAACACCTATTGTAGATCCGGACTAAAAAAAATCAATCAATCCGAATCTTAAAAGATAAAATAAATTTCATGAAAACGAAAAAAATTTCATATATTTTTTTATATTGTACATTATAAGTGCATTCGGGAAATCGTTATTAGTACTATTTGTGTCAAGGCCATGACATACAAAAAATTTAAGACAGTAGGACGTAACGACGTGAGACGTAAGGAGGTAGTAAGCAGTAAGGAAATCAATATGTTGGATTGGCTACTGCTTATGTTGTGGCTTTAAGGACTCTACTGCGATTGGTCAATTCGCTTATTGCTTACGTTTTGCCACTTAAGTTTTTTGTGTGCCATGGCCTTTAGTCTGTCCTTGTTTTACGTATAATAAACAACAAAGATAAGAATGACTTCTGGTTAAACCCTCTCTCTAACTTTGCTCCTTTACCTACTTTATTTCTTTTCCCTTTATCCGCTTTTGTCTTATAGTTAGAAGAAAGAATGACAGAGTAGCGCTAAAAGCGTCTCTCCGAACGCATATGCGAAATCATATGCCTTATTATGCGTTATACGAAACTGTGTGATTTCCGCTCATATTTTTACATCTATAGATCAATCAAACGCGTATCTCAGTAGATTATTTTTTGTTTTAAAATAATTGAGTGTTTTTCTCGTTGAGCATAACAGAAACAGGAAAGGATATTGACAAGAAGGTTCGTAAAAACATTTTTCAAGAAGATAAATTTCGCTATGGCTTTCGGATTAACCCAGTGGCTCATATTGTTTACTGTATTTGCGGTCGTTCTGACAGCTATCACTTGGTCCGCGATACATATGTTCAAAAAAGAAGAGCCACCACCAAAGATCATCACAGGTCCTATTTATATATATATCGACGCCGTTTATGAAGTTGAGTGGAGAAAGTAAGAGATATTTACGGAAAAAAATGTTTATTTCTACTAAAAAAAAAATTTCTTTTTATCAACATGTTTATTTTTTCAGGATTGCACTTTATTCCCACTTATTAAACGTGTCGTCGCGAGTGGTGGAAACAAGTTACCGAGAAGATAAGATGTTAGTCAAAAACGGCCAAAACGTAACACCAAACAGTTAGTAATTTTACAAAATTCAAACTTTTCATTCGAATGAGAATATGCTGTCTATAACGCGAATTCTAATATTGCATCAGCGATATCACCATTGGAAACAATTCATCGTGAACCGATGATATCACCTACAACGCTTCCGACGGAATTTTCAAATTTGACTGACAATCATCAATATCTTAAACAGGCATTGGTGCCGGTAACACCGTAAGGATAGATTTTAAATTGTTAATTAAACACACAATTATTATTCTCACATATATACATAAATCGTACATAATGTGCAAGCAAAAATTCTTTAAATAATTTCGCAGAATACCAGTTCAGGTTTTGCAACACATACAAACGGAGCATTTAACACACAAAACAGAATCATTCGACATAATAATAATTATGAAAATCAAGTATAGATCAGTCTACCGGCCCGGTATACCGTACAGACCTGACTACAGACCCTGAGCTTTTCGAACTCCCTCAAGATGAAAAGAATGGTATGTCGAACGTGTCTGTAATTTTCTCATTCTTACAAACACAAGTGTCCGATGACAGACTCACCAAATATGGTAGAATGAATGAAAATAATGCATATTATACAGGAGGAACACGGCGTAGACAAAACCCTTAGCGTTTCTTTCACCTTGATTAAGTTAACCGACGGTTATGTAGAGCTTATTTAAGCTCAGATACACAATTCATTATTATTCGTTATTAAAATAAATTAAATCTCGGTTCAAAATTAATCATGAGTTGTGAAACTGAGCCTAAATGAGCACCATGTAACCGTCGGTTAGCTTAACCGAGGTTGGTGAAAGAATCCTTAGAAAATAACACGTTATTATAATTATCACCTTTATTTAAGCACGTGAGTTTTGTTATTATTTTGTTGTTACATTTTTCTTATTATACATTGGCTGGAAATAAATGTAATAAATTAAAATGCATTATTTGTATGATTTTATGACTACAATGAGACAACAATAAAATATCGTTGGTTTTCATGCGTCATAAAATTTCAGACACGGAAATTTCAGTTTTTTTATAATCTATAAAGCACGTTCTTAAATAATTATTTCTTCCACAAGAGATGAAAACAATCACAGGACGTTTTTCTAAAAAAAAAGAATTGTGTATCGCTATCCAATAGGATTCTCTATCATGCGTTGTAATCCATAATTGTTCACCCTTTTGTCACTGCAGTGCCAAAGACGGTTATATCTTGGTGTCTATTGGAAGTAACGGGGCAGAAAGGCGCAATAACTCCGATTACGCTCCCCAAATGCAGCCCTTGTAATACCTACTCTAATAATACATGGGTTGCCATCGTTACGTCTGGGAGCAAAGCGCTTGTTATGGAGATGTGTCGATGTATAGCATGGACGTATGCAGCGTTTTTTTTAGGGGGAGGGATATTCATTAATTCTGTTATCACAACATTTTGTTCGTTAATTGCTTTTTTTGGCTATTTTAGAATTTTCTCGTTTTCTGATTTTAAATCAAAAAGATATTACGTTTTTATAACTTTTATTTTTTTCCCTGAAGAAAGTATAATATAATAAGCAAAATATAGTTATGAAAAATGAAATGTGTAATTTTTTAATATTACTTTAATATTATTAGATATAAAATATTTGTTATAATTTTTCTAGAGAGAAAAGAAATTTAAAAAATTCAGAAAAAAACACCAAAAAATTTCTTCGAGAAAAAGAACATTGCTAAAGATTGAAAATATTAAACTGAAGTTAAATAACAAGAAAAAAGAAAATAATAAATAAAACGAAAAAAGAATTAAAGTTGTATTTTTCATATTTAAAAATCGAGAAAAACTTTCAGGGATTGAAACCTCCCAAACTTTTTTCCTGGATACGTCCATGCTTTTTCTGTTCTCCTACCGCTACATCGTTTTAACCCGAGGATAATCAGTAATGTAGTCTGCTGTGGTGATTTCTATCTCATCGCGAGAAAACCACAATCAGTTTTCTTTCTTAATTAACAATTCATATTTTTTAAAATTTATTTTTTTACAATATTAATAGTGACTAAATGTTGAGAGTGCACATTTTATCTAAAATTATTTATGTACGTGTAAATTCGGAAATATTTTAAGATTAATTATTTTATAATTTCCGAAAAAAACTTGTAAAATCTGAAGACGTTTAAGTATTCTTTTAAATCTTCATAAATTCAATACATGTAAAATTTTAATGGTACCTATATGAAGATTATGTTTTCACCAGGGAGCTAGTACCAGGCCGTTTTGCGCATGACTGTTCCAGCATTAGCTTCGGGTGCAGGTGATTCAGGCCAGATAGTTGCACGTGTGTTACAGGCCTGATCAGAGCCAGTATCGACAGACGCATATACGGATGCTGGTTACAGTCGGAGTTACAGAAACGAAAAGGTTAATAGCATTAATATATCTGCTCCATGGAGTTTCGGTTAATGGGGTGCTTTTCGTTACGTTTTTTTTGTATTAATTCCAATTTCTTTCGTCAAACTTCTTGTGAGCTAGCAATCGGAGCAACTTTGTTTTTGTCTTCGTAAACTCGAAACGATATAAATCTTCTCTAAGGTCGGTATTCATAGTCCGTTTTTATTTTAGATAATTGAGATACTAATACATAGGCTCTCTGATCAGTTCATGAAATCTTAAGACTGTATTTAAAATGATATTAAATATAAGATCTGACTACGAATATCCATCTAAGAGACTAAAATATTTTAATATGTGAATGTGATGCAAAAGGATCGTATTATGAATAAAATGGTGACTCGTAGTAATATTATGAATATAAAATCTCTTGATCCTTTTGAGGAATGCGGTCTAAACATACAGTGTAACATTTTATAGGCAACGTTGGGATCTTTTTACTGTTATTTAATTTGATTCCGAGACTGGCGATTCTTTTGTTGGCTTACATCAATGAACGATTGCATTAACAGTGGTTAAGTAAATAGTTATTAAAGAGAAGAAGCTCAGCGAGGGTTATTTTTCCGCGAAAGAAACCGACTCTAGCGACGGTGGTGTAAGTGATCTTGATAATAGACAAGTATTGCGCAAATCAGCCCAGACTGTCCATTTGTATCGTTACCGTCGTTTCACAATGTCGGTGTACGTAGACCAAGTCGTGTGTTGCGAGGCAAAGACAGAGGCGAGAAAACGTTGCTGCAAGCTTTACGATCGAGCGACGCACGGAGGTCGGAAACATCTGAAGCCAGCGTCATGGATCACCGCGAAAAAGCTGCCGGCTTTGCCGATCAGCGGTTATGTTTGTCGGGGATGTCGTCGCGAATTTCAGAAGGTATCGATATTTCGAGATACAGATCGCATGTCGTTTCAATGTTGTATCGATGTCATGAAGAGGTTCCGTACTGTGATGAAAAAATTCCATTGAAAGGTGAGGGTGAAAATTCAGGGCTGCACTATTTTATTGTCCCGTAACAAAAAATGATTCTTTTTCGAACGTAAAACCAAAGGTAATCTGATGCCTGTAGGTTTTTTTTAATTTGATCCCATTGAAATTGTTCTGTCACATTGGTCACGTTATAATTTAGAAAAAAATTGTAATAAAGCTATTTTAGTCCATTGTTTATTGTACGATTTGTGACATGTTGAAAAAATTTATTACAATCAAAATTATATTATTAGATTTTTCAGTCCTCAAAAGAAATTTATTGTGTCGATTATAATTAAAAATACATTTAAAATTAATGTACATTACGTGTATCAGAATGGATATTGCGTCAGAATTGCGATTTTAATATTACGATATTGATAGAGCTTATATTAATTTTTTTAACGATAATGGATATAAAAAAAATTTTTAAGACATGAAAAATTTAAGAATACATTAATTTTGATCGCATAATATACATTTTGATTGCGTAGGAATTACATAATTTATAGTGTAAATATTTATAATTGTGTGTTTTTACAAAAATTAATACTTTTCCTCTAATAATGTAAATATGTCTTAATAATCAGAGTTAGATAATTAAGTTAATATTTTTTAAAGCTAAATTAAATTACAGTTAATGATTCAGAAATTAGTTTAGTTACAAACACAATACTAAATGATTGGACTAATGAGACTTGGCACGCAGTGTCAGAGTCGAAATGTTCTTTTGTATATAATTAATTTAAATATAAATTTATGCACGGACAAATGCGTGTCAGTTCTCATTAGCATAATTTATTTATTAGCTTATTTGTTAAACTTAAGAGTCCCGAATTCTTTATATTTTTTAATTTAGTTATGTTAAAAGTTGCATGATTAAAAAACTAAGGCTGGGTTGTTCTACCTTTCGGTAAACTTCAACTCACTCTCTCTTACTCTCTTACTCTTTTATATTTAACTCTTTCAATCCTTTGTTTATCCAATAAATAAATTACCAGATAGTTTACTTAAAAGATGGAACAGCCGGCCCTAATTCAGTTAAAGTTACGTTAAAAGTTATTGAATTAACAAAAGTTAAATAAAATGTTAATTTTGAAAAACATTTTTATTAAATCATAATGTCCTAATTTTTCTTAAAACAGACGACTGTAAATAACAAAACAATTATAATATAAATCATCAGATAAAAGTTTAATATTTCATTTTTTAATTTTATAAAATAACAAAGAAATAATTTTTTACTAGCATATAGTTTGTATTTAACTAAAGTTATGTTCGGAAAGCAGCGCTATTGCGTCATTTGTTCTGTATCGCTCATTAGGCGTAAAACAAGAACAAGAATGTCGCAATAACGCTGATAACGTTTTCTAAATACAGATCCTAAGTTCGTCAATTATCCACAGTCATCTTTGGATAGTACGAGTGTTCCCTTATGGGAAAAAATACATTCATCTAGGCATTAGCGGACCGAAATAACTTTTGAATTAAGTATTAATCCCCAAGTTGGATATTTATTTGGCAGCTACCTGACACTCCTTAGTTGCGCCCATCACATGATCAATAATCTTTTCTCAACTAATTCTCTTTAATATTTAAGATTTTATAGAAAAAAATGACATTTAAAAAGATAAAAATATTAATTTAAAAAAGAAAAAGTTAATAAATTAAAGTTTGAAAGTAACTAGATTAATTTAATAATTTTGAAAACATACCAATCATGCTCCTAATACAATTAATAGTATATTTTATAATAGTATATTTGTATACAAATTTCTGTAATATTATATAACAATGATAAATATCAACATTATATTTATATTTTTATGTTACATGTAATTTTTTTCAGTGTAATATATGAAAATATACTAAAATAGTCCTTTTTGTAATTTTAATTGAAAATTTTTCTAAATGATGATTGTGACATGACAGAGCAACTTTGAACAATGGAGTCATAAACGTCCAAATAACTACGAAAAATTATTACCTTCTTTCTTATGCATTTTTTATTGAATAGTAATATTTTAATATAATTTGTGTCGATATTACAAATTGAAAGAAATTCAGTGATAGATGTTTTCCTCTATTGAAGAGATTGTAACAAAGAAAATCCCTCAAAAATGAAAATTTCTATTGTTGAATTCTACCACTTGATAATTACGTGCCTTATGTCCGTTTCCACCAATGTAGATAATTATCAATCTCGATTTAATTTACTCTTTATCTTTTTCTAATTCTAAAAACTAAAGGAAAATAAAAAATAAGTTAAACCAAGATTAATCTCGGTTTAACTTAATTTTATCTTTCTTTCACATAAATTCCGCGATTATTTAATCTCTTGTGTTTTCTTGTGTTCTACAATAAATGAAAACATGGGCAATTAAGGGCCTAAATTCTCAGTAATTGAAACGATTATATCAACATATATTTCTCAACACTACATATATAACAAATACCGATCGTT